TCTCCCCCTACCTGCATGGATGGTGGCAAGGGAGCGATCGATGCATGCATGGAATGGACCATGGCATATGGGCGGCATGCGTGCCTGCGTAGCATGTGGGAATGATGGTTAGGAGTGTGAGCACGGGATGTGAGCATGGGGTGTGAGATTAATTATGGGCACTGGGTGTGAGCATGGGGAGAAATTGCAGAGCTGATATGAGGTGGAGAGCTCACCTGAGGCACAAAGCGGAGGGAGGTGGAGGAAGGCAGCAGCTGCTGCATCCACCGTCGGATCTCGCCTTCATCCGACGGCTCAGAGAAGAAGATGAAGACATGCGTGGATGCGTGCCTGCCTGCCACACCACAGCACCGGCTGATCATGATGAACATCACAGCCGTGACTGATCAAACTGAAGACCACAGCTACCTAGGGCACCGCAATGGTCGCATTGAGCATGGCATGAGCTACGAGATTGCGGCAGCATCATCGTCAGACATGCAATCTCTGCGACCATAAATGTATCTGAGCCACTCTTGAGAATTCTAACAAAGACTCAGCTGGACGTCACGCTAATAGCCCCGTACTCGCCAGAAGCCCTGCGCCTCGCTATAGTCACGTACAGCTCGGGGCAGCGCTCGATATTGGCGAAGACGTGTCCGCAGCACGCGTGGTAAAAGGCGACCTTTGAGTCGACTTGACAGTCACCTCGCTATAGTCACGTACAGGTCGGGGCAGCGCGCGATATTGGTGACGACGTGCTCGCAGCACGCGCGGTAGAAGTCGCACGCCGCGTCCGCCCCCACGCCGGCCGCCAGGCGCGTCTTCACGCGCCCCGGCGCTGGTCGCTTCACGAAAATCATCACCGCCTGCTGCGCGCCGAGCGGCTCCCGCGCTTCACTCCGCGCCTCTTCCGCTTCGCTCGCACTCACTTTAGGGTCGCTCATTCTGGCGTCGCACACTCCCGTCGCTTATTCGTTCAGGCTCGCTCAACAAGAACGAGGAGACTGAGGCTACTGAGAGAACGACGGTGTCTGAGTCCTGAAACGACGATGGCGATTGCCTCGCTGCGGGTGCGGCAGTCACGCGGTGCGGGTGAACAGCGAGAATGATCGAGAGACGGACAGCTCAGCTGAGCGTGTCGAACGGACGCGCCTGCGCTTTGCGATGTGGCGGCAAGTTTTAAACAGGGTGACTGGTCAACGGCCGTGAAGGGGGAAGAGAGGGGAAGAAGGAAGCAATGGTTGACCAGCAAAGAGAAAGTCTCTTTCACGTTTTAAATTATGATTCAGTGAGGTGCTTTACGTTCTACAACTTTCACAGATCATCAAATGGGAGAGTATTGCAGCCCCTTCTGCATTCGCTTGGCGTTTCCCTGTTGGCTTGCGGAGGCATTTGGTTCAATCGCCTATCTCGCGATGTTCTCGAAGCAGCTCGTTCACCAATAGGCTTCGAGTTCCTCCTAGTTGTCCAATGAGATCCTGGCTCTGGAACACCGACCATCCTACTTCCGGAGAATCACATTGACGACAGCACGCAAACGTCGCGAACGCAGGCGAAAGAGGGGGGATCCGTTGGCGGGAGGATTACCACACAACCAGATCTCCGCTGCAGCAGCGGCGGAGGAAAATCCTCAGCAACAATCCAATACATTTGCTGAATCTGTAGCTTACCTGCTCTAGTTGCTAGCTTCAGATCAGAAAAGTCTAGTGAAGCGGAGATTCACATATTCCTTGTGTTTTTTCGCCACGTCGTAGTGCTTCGAGCACAGATCACGACAAGGTAGTTGGCGCATACTATCGCATACTGTCGCCTACGGTCGCACACTATCGGATACCATCCGCCATTCGCCATGAGCGAGAGCAGCGCAGCGACGGCCACGGCGACAGTGGCAGGCGTCAGCTTGGAGCAACGCCGGGCAGCGGCCGACGCAACGCAGCCGTCCGTCGCGCCGGACGCCGGCAACGCGAAAGATACCGACGCGCTGAAGGACAAGGCGAAGCCACGTGGCGCGTCGCCGCGAAGGCGGTCCGGATGGCTCGTGCTGGTACTCGTGGTTCTGGTGGCGGCAGCGGCGGGCGCGGGTTATTATTTGAGGCGGGAATACAGCGAGTATATCGCGATCGACGACGACGGGGAAACCGAGAGTGACGGCGAAGCGCCTCCGGCTGAGAAGGCCGGGACGCGGTCGAACCCGCGGAAAGCCCAATGGCAAGCCGATGTGAGTCGCTGCGTTCGTCGCTGGATGCGTCGCGGATGCGCGTCGTCTGTCGTTGCGTACGCCGCAAGGCTGGTGACAAGTGCCTGCGATCCGTTATTGCCAACCCATCCATTCTCGTAGTATCTGCGTCTCATCGTGTTCTTCGTGCCTATATACTCCAACGGTTAACTCGGGTGTACATCCTCTGCGCGCGCGTCTCATACTTGACGCACTCACGCACACACACACACACACACACACACACACACACACACACACACACACACACACACACACACACACACACACACACACACACACACGCACGCACGCACGCACGCACGCACGCACGCACGCACGCACGCACACGCAATCACACACGCACACGCAAACGCACACTTACATTTTGCTTAGTCAGCTTACCCAATGCACGGGGTTTTTTCACCCCCATCCGCCGCTTCCCATCTGCGCGCTTGCATCCCATGCCTCACTTTCTCGATTGTCACTGGCTCGATTGTGACTGTCGCGCTAGTGACTGTATCGAGTGTAACAGACGCTGTGGAGCGCGGAGGAGCTGGCCAAGTACAACGGGTCGACGAAGGGCCTTCCGCTGCTTTCCATACCCATCCTCTGTTTCCCATGCCCATGCCCTGCACCCTCGCATGCCATGCCTCACTGTCCCCATCGTGAATGTCTCGTTTGTGGCTGTCTCGTTTATAACAGAACCTGTGGAGCGTGGAAGAGCTGGCCAAGTACAACGGGTCAACGAAGGGCCTTCCCCTTCTTCTCATGCCCATACTCTGCCTGCTCGCATGTCATGCCTCACGTGTTGCTTGTGACTGTATCGAGTACAACAGAAGCTGTGGAGCGCGGAGGAGCTGGCCAAGTACAACGGATCGACAAAGGGCCTTCCGCTGCTGCTGGGCATTCTGGGGTGAGTGGGGCGTGGGCAGGCAAGGGTGAGTGGCGCGTGGGCAGTCTTTAGGTTGAGTGAAGAGTGGAAGTTGGTTGAATGCCCACTATGAGGTTTGAAAATGGGTGCTGCTGGTGTTAGTGCAGGTCACATGCTGCCGCTATGCCCCATGCCTCTTGCTCCATGCACCATGCCCCATGCCCCAAGCAGCATGCCCCATGCCCCATGCACCATGCCCCATGCCCCATGCCCCATGCCCTATGCACCATGCACACACCATGCTCCATGCCCCATGCCCTATGCACCATGCACACACCATGCCCCATACCCTGTGCCCCCCGTGCCCTGTACCCCATACCCCATATCCCATACCCCATATCCCATACCCCATGCCCCATACCCCATATCCCATACCCCATATCCCATACCCCATGCCCCATACCCCATATCCCATACCCCATATCCCATACCCCATGCCCCATACCCCATACCCCATACCCCATATCCCATACCCTACGCCCCATACCTCATATCCCATACCCCATATCCCATACCCCATATCACATACCCCATATCCCATACCCCATACCCCATATCCCATATCCCGTACCCCATGCCCCATACCCCATATCCCATACCCCATATCCCATACCCCATGCCCCATACCCCATACCCCATACCCCATTTCCCATACCCCATGCCCCATACCCCATATCCCATACCCCATATCCCATACCCCATATCCCATACCCCATACCCCATACCCCATGCCCCATACCCCATGCCCCATACCCCATATCCCATACCCCATATCCCATACCCCATATCCCATACCCCATACCCCATACCCCATATCCCATACCCCATGCCCCATACCCCATATCCCATACGCCATATCCCATACCCCATATCCCATACCCCATATCCCATACCCCATATCCCATACCCCATATCCCATACCCCCTATCCCATACCCCATGCCCCATACCCCATATCCCATACCCCATGCCCCATACCCCATATCCCATACCCCATGCCCCATACCCCATATCCCATAACCCATGCCCGAACGGGTTTGACATGACCAAGGGCGAAAAATACCGCGCCTCATTTCTGCTGCTCCATGCCCCAAGTTCCATACCCATAATACCCCATGCCCCGTATTCCATACCCATAATACCCCATGCCCCATATTTCATACCCATAGTTACCCATGCCCCATATTCCATACCCATAATACCCCATGCCCATACCTGCAGGGACGTGTTCGACGTGACCAAGGGCAGGAAGCACTACGGCAAGGGGCAGGGGTACAATCACTTCGCTGGCAGGTCAGAGCCCCAGGGTGCCACGTCAGAGCTTCAAGGTGCCAGGTCAGCCAGGCTCAGTGTCCCAAGCCAGCAGGTCAGCTCCTCAGGGTGCCATGTCAGCCTTAGGGTGCCAGGTCAGAAACTCACGTTGCCAGGCCAGAGCTCGAGAACAACTTCAAAGCGGCTGTGTCATGAAGGCCAGAACGCTGTGAGCCGCGAATGGATTTTCAGGCATTCGTGCGGTCTGCATATGACCAGACGACACCCCACAGAGCTCAGCAATTCAGCTCGCCTTTTGAAGCGCCACAAAACACGCCTGGCCAGGTTGACGAGTGTCGAGATGCTCCTGACACGCCTGCTGCGGTGCTTCAGTTATCATTTCCGATGTGGGTTATCTGTGTTTCTAGACACTCTACAGCTGCTTAATTAATGCTGGTCGATAGGGTGTGCTTAGGGCAACAAACTCACTTCCTTGATGTGTCGAGAGTTTGCCTTGTATGCATCCCAGAGTGTAGTGCTCGGAGGGTTCAATTCAATTCAAGATGGATTCAATCGAACCCATCTCTGAGCGTGCAAGCTCGTGCGTTGCTCCTTTGCCATGCCATCGGCTGTCTCGCACTCACTCCTTTCCACACCTCTCTCACGCCTCGCCCTTTTCTTCATTAATCACATCCCCTCTCACAGGGATGCCACAAGGGCATTTGTCTCGGGCAACTTCTCAGGTATGACGGACCATGCCGTGCTATGCCATGCCATGCCATGCCATGCCATGCCATGCCATACCACACCACGTCAATACCATAGCATACAATACCATTCCATCACATACCGTAGCATATCATACCATATTGCATCATACCCTACCATACCATACCATGACAAACTATGCGATGCCATAGCATGACATGCATGCATGTGTGGTAAGCCGCTGTCCTATTCAAATTGAGCTCCTTTGTCCATGTCTGACCATCCAACATCCACCAGCACCGCTTGCCACCGCATGGCACCACAGGTACACCCTCCCTTTCCCCCGCTCTCCCTACCTGTTCAATCCCTTCCCGCCCCTTTCCATCCCTCTCCATCCTACAGGTGACGGCTTAACGGACGACCTGACAGGGCTGTCAGGAGAGCAGTGCATTGGCATTGCAGACTGGCGCGACTTTTACTTCAAGACCTACATGTGAGACGGAACCCTGTGCATGAGACGTACATGTGAGACGGAACCCTGTGCATGAGACGTACATGTGAGACGGAACCCTGTGCATGAGACGTACATGTGAGACGGAACCCTGTGCATGAGACGTACATGTGAGACGGAACCCTGTGCATGAGACGTACATGTGAGACGGAACCCTGTGCATGAGACGTACATGTGAGACGGAACCCTGTGCATGAGACGTACATGTGAGACGGAACCCTGTGCATGAGACGTACATGTGAGACGGAACCCTGTGCATGAGACGTACATGTGAGACGGAACCCTGTGCATGAGACGTACATGTGAGACGAAACCCTGTGCATGAGACGTACATGTGAGACGGAACCCTGTGCATGAGACGTACATGTGAGACGGAACCCTGTGCATGAGACGTACATGTGAGTTGCTTCGTGCAAGCAACATTCATGCGAGGAACCCCATGTGCGAGAGATGCATGAGTCTGTGCATGGGGCGCTTGACCCTGCCTGCCTTCACCCTCACCCTTTCTCCTCCGTGGATTGCCCTGCCCTCCTTCCTAGCAGCCACGTGGGGAAGCTGGTGGGTCGATTTTACGACGAGCAGGGGAAGGCGAAGGATGTTCTGGGCGAGTTTGACGAGCTGCTCAAGGAGGGCAAGCGGCAGAGAGACGTGGCCACGGCTGGGAGAGTGCAATAGTCAATCCGTTCTGCATTTATCCGTCAACCTGTGTCTCTCGGCTTACCCTTGCAGCCACGTGGGCCAGCTACTGGGGCGGTTTTAAGACGAGCAGGGGAAGGCGAAGGATGCTCTGGGCGAGTTTGACGAGCTGCTCAAAGGAGGGCAAGCGGCTGAGAGACGTATCCAAGGCAGCGGAGAAGAAATATTCCGGGTGCAAGCTCCTTCCCAGCTCCTCCCTCCCCACGCATCTCTCCCCACGCCCTTTTCAACACTCATCGTTTGAGGCGTCTCAGTGGCCAAGGGGGTGGAGAAGAAGTACCCCGGGTGCGCAAGGTGGGGAAGAAGTACCCCGGGCGCAACCCGTGATGGGCGCAGAACGAGGGCGGCAAGGTAACGTGTCCCCCTCCCTGCTCTTTTCCAAGTCCTCCCTCCGCTGCGCATCTCTCTCCAACCCCCATTCCCCACTCATGGTTCTGCGTTCCTGCCTTGTTCCCCACTGCTCTTCCCTTGCTCAATACCTCCCTGTTCCTCCCTCCTCGTTGCTCCTTTCTCTCACAAGGCTGATGCGGTGGAGACGAGGTACCCTGGATGCATTCTTTCATTCTTAGATGGGCTCAGAATGAGGGCGGAAAGGTGGTGTCTTTCTCTCCTCGCATCTACTCCCCGCCGTCTCCACCCTCCCTGCTCCTACCCCCTTCTTGCCCCTCTCTCCCCCTCCTTTCTTGTGAGGCACCCCAATGCTGTGGAGACGAGGTACCCCGGGTGCAACTCGCGATGGGCTCAGAACGAGGGTGGGACGGTGCAGCCACTCTCTCTTCGCGTTCACTCCCTGCCCTGCCCTCTCCTCCCTCCCCGCTCCAACCTCCTCCCCCACCCGAGAGAGCATTGTAGTTATAATTGTCAGTGCCACTGATTGGTGCTCTACACCATGCTTATAGTCTGAGAATTCACACACGCATGAATCTCTTGTGGGTTGCATTGCATACGACGGGCAGCCTGCTGCTTGTCACACCAGCATGTGCACGTACGGTAGTCTTTTCACATTGACTGCTGTTTTGTTGAATGCCGTAGGAGTTATAAATTGGAGTGATAGACTAAACAAAAGCCCAACAAACCTTCAACAACATCCGAACGAGCTCCCACCCACCCAAGATCAACCATGCACAACTAAAACGCTAGACAGAGCAATTCACGTCACCACACTATCTTGAATTGAAGACAATTCAGTCACTACCTCCCACGTGGCAGGTCACGGAACCCGTTAGCAGGTCACAACGCATCAATCTCTTGGGGATATTGTCACCCTTACAAGTGCACATAGTCAAGTCTTTCCACGTTGACACTGCTGTTTTGTTGAATTTAGAATGATAAATTGGAGTTCCCATGAACCATAAACAACTGGAAATTCACATGCCCAACGTCCGAACGACTTCCAGCCAAAAAAAGTACATGCACCTAAGCAAGCAACTACAACGCTAGAACAATTCAAGTCACCTTACTTTCTTGAAATGAAGACACTTCAGTCACTACCTCCCACTCGCCAGGTCATCGTACGGTGGACCTCTCGTTTCATATTCCTGCGTTCGCCGGTCACTGAACCCGGATCACGGTGCCTTTCGCGACGGGGTCCTTGCAGCGGCGACCGTTGTTGAGCGCCGCGAATCGTAACTGCTTGCCGCGGAAGTACTGCTTCAGCAACACGCTGCACGACTCGCCGCGCGTTTCGTAGTACTCCGGCACATTCATTTTGTGAATCAGCCTCCCCGCCGTTAACGGAACTGGGTTACACATATAAAACAACTTGATAAGTAGCTGAAGTTTCCAACGGATCAGCATGCTCGACGGACCAAGTAGGTTATCCAGCGAGAACAAAACGGATTTGATGTTTAAAAGTACAGTAGGGGTGACATCAATTCTGACCGTGGCGCAACTCACCGTGGGAAACGAGGAGAAGAGCCAGTGCCAAAACCAGCATGGCGCGGACAGCATTCACGAGCCTGAAACCCGTTGCCATGGCTAGGGAACGACTGGATTGAGAGGACGAGATGAGGCCAAAGGGGGAATGGGAGAACTCGGAAAAACGCTGGCAAGTGCTTGAGGAGGGAAGAATGATGTGTTGAGAAGACGGGATGGGCTAAATAAATAGTAATGCCGATATGATCACCGAGTTTTGACTCCTCGCATCGCGGAAAAAGGGTTTGGTCCAGAATCGAGTTCAGGTCTGAAGGCTGCTGGAATGTTGCGGATACGTTGCAGGAGGAGTGTCCGAAAAGCACTGAGTGAAAACAGCAACTTTCGGCGATCTCGGCTAAGCGGGAAAACCGAGCCGCACATTTCAGATACGTGGGAGAACCGAGCCGCGAATTTGTAGCGTGAAATTCGCTACATTTGCACCGAACTGTACACCTGTTCACGACCCAAACTTCGAATTTGCCTTGGTGTTTTTCCGTTGGTGTGCGATCAGGGAACACTTCGCACGAAACTAGTTTGGGTTTTCGAAAGTTGCGAGCGCAGTAACATGGATACGAAACCGGACGAAAGTGCGAAGGCAGAACCATGTATCGAAACTCACAACAGGCACACGGTAAATTGACACACCCAATCAAATCCAAGTGTTCAGATTTCGGTATACTGACGTGGCTTCCCCGAACCAATGAAATAGAACCTCCTGATTTATTACTAACCAATGACTGGTGTGATGTATTATAAATCAGAGATCAACAGCGTTCCCTCACGACACACCTTCTGAATGACAAATTGTATACAGTTACGGGTGCAATGAATCGAAGTAGCGAGAATTGCACTAAGGTGTCAAACGAGTACAAAATGTGAGCGAAGGCATGAGCGAACATTTATACGCGAAACATACAAAACGGTAACGCGGTGCGTGCGAGCTTGCTAGTGCTACGCTGAAGCGAGGCTTGGGCTAGTCCCGAAGCGTAGGCCGATGCGGCCATGCCAGCAGTGCGAGGTTTGGCAAAACAGTGCGCGCGAAGTCGGCGAAGTTCCGTTAGCAGTAACGGGCGAACAATCGGCTGTTGCTGTACGCGATGTAGTCGGCCCCGTAAGGAATGCCGAGAAAATTCCTTACACTACCCCCCCCCTTAAGAAGCCCCCTCCGCTACTCGAGTGCGTGTATATCGCGGAATCCCCGGCTCCTCAGGTACACTTGCAGGGCAGGGTGATTTTCGATGTTGCTCAGGGGCACCCAGCTATCTTCAGTTGGCGTGCGGTCTTTCCAGCGAACGAGGAATTCAATCCTCCTGATTCCCGTGGGGTGGCGGATCCGATGGCTCAGAATTTTGTCGGGCTCGATGATCGGCTCTGATGCAGGGCGAGTCATTGATTGTGGCCGGTGACGCGGCAGTTGACTTGTGGTCGGGATGTATGGGCGAAGTAGGCTGACGTGGAACGAAGGGCTGATGTACCAGTCGGTTGGCAACAGTAGGTGCGCGGTGACGGGTGTGATCATGTGACTGATTTGGAATGGTCCACAGTAGCGCGGTCGTAATTTTGGTACGTCGGGCAGTCGCAGATTTTGCGTGTCAAGCAGCACGTAATCTCCAGACTGGTACGTGACAGGACGGCGGTGGCGATCAGCGTTGCGCTTAGCGATGACGTTGGCCTTTTTTATTGCTTCGGCGGCTCTGGCGCGGGCAGTTTGCAGGATTTCGGCGAATTGTTGTGCACGTGGCGTTGGGTTGTCCGGACTCGGCGTCATGGGCACTGTGGGGTTTTGCCCATAGTTCAGGTAGAACGGGGACTGCTGCGTCGTGGCTGATGTGGCGTTGTTGTACGCGAACTCGATCAGCGGCAGCTGCTGCTCCCAGGTCGTGGGGTCGTCACACGTGGCACGAATCAACTGCTCCATCGTCTGATTCGTCCGTTCCGTTTGGCCGTCGGTCTCGGGGTGGTACGACGAACTGAACTGTAGCCTGGTCCCGAACTGCTCCCAGAGGTTCTTCCAGAAGTTGCTGGTAAACTTCGTGTCCCTGTCGCTGATAATTGCTGCTGGTATCCCGTGCAGGCGAACAACGGCTGCGACGAACAGGCGAGCGGTCTCCTCGGCTGAGATCGACTTTTTGCATGCAGCGAAGTGTGCCATCTTCGTCAGCCTATCCACGACGACCATCACCGCGTCGTTACCCCCAGGGTTCGAAGGTAACCCTGTGACGAAGTCCATGGTTACTTGCTGCCAGGCGCGTTCGGGCGGTGGGATCGGCTGCAATTGACCCGCCTTCCGCTTCCTTGAACTCTTCATCACCTGACACGTCGGGCACGAGCCCACGTGCTGCTGTACGTCGGTCAACAGCTCCGGCCAGTAATAATACCGCTGCAGTTGCTGTCGCGTTTTTTCTACCCCGAAATGTCCCGAGGTAATCCCGTCGTGTGCCTCCTGCAGCAGCAGCTCCCTCAGTAGTGAGTACGCGGGTACCCAAATGCGGTTGGTGCCTGTTTTTACGTAATAGACTCCTTTTGCTTCTGCCAGTTGCTGTGAATTTCCAGTCGTGAAGAATGGGTCGGTGCGATATCCGTGGGTGAATAGGCCAGTTAAAAGCGGGTTGGTCTGGGCGAGTAGGATGGCGTGGAGTTGGGCGGTGGGGCGGGTGAGTGCGTCGGCGATGTTGGATGCGCCTTTTTTGTACGTAACGGTGTAGTGAAAATTGGACTCGAGATAGTCCAACCAGCGAATCTGTCGTGGGTTGAGATTCGGTTGGGCGCGAAGGTACTGTAGCGAGCGGTGGTCTGTCCGTACTGTCACGTCAGCGCCAGTCAGGTAACATCGCCAAACTTTGAACGCGTGCACGATCGCTAACATCTCGCGGTCGTGTATCGGGTAGTTACGTTCGGGCGGGTGTAGTTTGCGGGACTCGTACGCGATTGGCTGGAGGCCGTTCCCGAAGTCCTGCAACAGTACTGCTCCCACAGCGATGTCACTTGCGTCGGTGACGAGCTCGAACGGACGGTGGGGATCTGCAATGTGAAGGACGGGCGGGGAGCACAAAATATTTTTGAGGGCCGAGAAGGCAGCTTGCTCTTCCTCCCCCCACGTGTACTCAACCCCCTTCCTCAGCAGGTCGGTCAACGGGGCAGTCAGCTTCGCCATGTCGGGGACGAACCGACGCACGTAGTTGACGAACCCCAGAAAACTCTGCAACTCGGTCAGGTTGGTCGGCGCGTGCCACGCCTGAATCGTCGCAATTTTCTTCGGGTCGATTTCCACTCCCGCAGCTGAAATAACATGTCCCAAAAACTCCAGGCGGTCCTGTAAAAACTCACACTTAGATGCTTTGGTCAGTAGGCGGTTCTCACTTAGGATTTTAAAAACTGCCTCGATGTCGTGTAAGTGCTGTGCTCTGTCAGGGCTGTAAATCAGTATGTCGTCCAGATAAACGATGACGCACTTATCTAAAAGCGGGCGGAATGCTTCGTTCATGGTCATTTGGAAGGTGGCGGGGGCGTTGGTCAATCCGAATGGCATGACGGTGTATTCGAAAGATCCGTAGCGTGTTCGGAATGCGGTTTTAGGGCAGTCGGGTGGATTAACGCGGATTTGGTGGTAGCCTCCCCGGAGGTCAATTTTCGAGAAAACCCGGGCTGTGCGCAG